TGTAACCTAAACATTTGTATCCCCGTAATATGCTGAAAACAAACAAACAAAAAAGCATGCTACAGTAACATCTCACACATATGGCGTTTGGGTGAGTAGAGATTAACTCACCAAATTTCATTCTTAACCCTAAATATTAAAAAGCAAAACAAAGCCCAGACATGAGGGTTTCCTTTTCTTTTAACCACCATCAGAATAAAATCAGACGGGCACACATCTGTACCCCCATAATATGCTGAAATAAAAAAAAAAAAAAGAAGTTAGCCATATGTCAGAATACGTGGGGAAACAGCAAAAACCCACACACCTATAGGCTGGAATATTGTGAAGATATTACGAATCATGCCTTTGTAGATGATTTAATAACTTGAGGACAGTCTCATGACATAACATTAAGGTGCATAGCTATTTATACAATTCAATGTCAACTTTATGAAAATAAACCACACATGCATAGAAAACAGGAACAACACCAAACCATTTAGTTTTCTCAGTATAGAACAATTATGAGTAATTATTTTTGTTCTTTATTACATTACTATATATTCGAAAAATATTTAACATTTAGTTTTTGTTGTCTACCATGAAATCACATCACTTAGTATATGTTATTTATATTAAGAGTTGGTTATTTAAATAGAATGTATTATACAAAAATAGAAAACAGGTAACTAGTTTTCAAAGTGAAAGATTTTCCTGTATTTCATAAATCTGAAAGAACAAGTACTTTTTCTATGTGAAAACTAAGAGCAGATGCATGTTCCCTGATATGCCGAGAGAAAAACATGCAGCCGCCATAGTAACATATATGTGGCAGATTAAAGCCACCCCTCCCAGAGGTGCTGTCTATGTCCCTGTCCTTGATTCTGGCTGGGCTTCGACCACTCTGATAAATAGAAGACAATGGAAGACTCGCTGTGCCTTTTCCCAGTAGCTTCCACATCCTGCCTCTTACAACACTCGCGTTCAGACCCCAGTCACCATGCTACTCAAGCAGACCAAACCACACGAAGAAGCCATGTGTAAGATAGGAACTCTAGTCAATAGCCCCAGCTGAGCGCCGAGATGACACGTCAATCAACGGCAAGCTACCTGAAAGTCCAGCATCTTGTGCATCCAACCTAGTGAGACCTTGATATGACACCAGCCCTAGCCACCATCTAACTGCAAAGTCACATGCAACTCACGGCAAGAACTGCCCAATTGAGCACAAGAACAGTGAGAGATAATAAGTTATTTTAAGCCACTAAGTTTTGAGGTGTGTTTTTTAATGCAGCGGTTGATAACTAAAACAATATCAGCAGATACAATTGCATATGTGTATGTGTTTGTGTGTATTAGTGGGTAGGGAAAAACATTTTAATCAAGTAAGTTTATCCAAGACATATAATAGGGTCCTTCGTTCTAAATAGCTATCAGGTGAAATATAGCAACATCATCCCTTAAGGATTCAGGAAACAAAAACACTATTACGATCTCTATTTTTAAAAACAGAAATAGGTTAGAGTTGGGCTAAATTCACCAGTAATCCAAGGTGGGATAAATAAACATTAAAATTAAATCTCTGGGGCCAGGCACGGTGGCTCACGCCTATAATCTCAGCACTTTGGGAGGCCAGAGTGGGAGAATGACTTGAGCCCAGGAGTTTGAAATTAGCCTGGGCAACAGAGCAAGATCTTGTCTCTGCAAAAAATTTAAAAATTAGCCGGATGTGATGGTGCATGCCTATGGTCCCAGCTATTAGGCAGGCTGAGGTA